ATCTGCTGCTGCTGCTGCTGCTGCTGCGGCGGCGGCGAACGTTTTCTGCTGCACCGCCGCCTCCGCCCCGCTGATGCTGCCCGACTGCTGCAGCAGCGGAGGAAGCGCTGCAGACTCTTCAAAGAAACGAGACAAAGACATGAAACCCCCTGCTGCAGTGGGGTCTTCGAGGTCTGGCTTAGACAAGCTCTGCAGCCTCGGCAAGCCATCGCTAGCTGGCGGCTGCAGCGGGGCTTTGGCTAGCTGGCTAGCGTACTGGTCCGCCAGGGGAGCTAGCTGGCTAGCTGTGATGTGCTGCTTCAGGCGCTCAGGTGTATCGACGCCCAGAGTTGTGAACGGCTGGTACACCCGGCCCATCAGCTGCATCATTTGCTGCAGCAGCAAATGGCCCAGCAGGAAAATGTCCTGCACCTTCGGGTGTATCTGCATGCAGCAGCACCAAAGTCGACACAAACTGACACTCAAGTCCTCAGCAACGGCCGCCCAACGAGCAGCAGCAGCAGCAGCAGCAGCAGCAGGGGCGCAAGCGTCTTTAGCCACCCAAGCAGTACAAAGAGGAGGGCTCAAAGCACGGCAGCAACTACAGAGAGTCACAAATTTGCATGCATCTTAATCCCACTAAGAACTTAGTGAAAAAGGGAGATCTTTCGCAACAACTCGCGTGCCACTGAGACCCCCAGCTCAAACCCAAAGCCCAGCAAACGAGCCCCTGTGTGGGGCCCCACACAAATGACGACGGGGCGGCGGAAGTCCCTTAGAGAGGCCACGTGAGCGGCCAAGACTGTAGGGGGAGAAGAAGCCCCGTGGAGAGTCCCGGCCTTGGCAATGAGGGCGTTGGGGTCTGCGAAGAGGAGCTGGGGTTTGGGGGGGAGGGCCCTGGAGAAGCACTTGGTGTTCAGCAGCGAGTAGAGCCTCCAGGCCTGCAGCAAGGCGCAGCACAGGGCTCTCGCGGCGCTGAGGGGGCCCCGCAGCAGCAGTAGCAGCAGCAGCAGGCAGCAGCGAGGGGCAGCGGCGCGCTGCTGCAGCCAGCTGCAGCAACGAGGGCTCTCAGGAGGCCTACAACTGCTGCCTTTTCCGCCTCCGGGACTTTTCTCTTCTCCGGATTCTGCAGCGCCTCCTTCACGAGGGCCTCCGCCTCTGCAGCTCGCTGGGCCTCTTCTGCTGCTGTCTTTCCCTCCTCCGCCTGCGCCCCAGCGGGGGGCCCCTGCCCCTCAGTACCCTTGGGGGTCCCCAGGCCCGCGCAGCTCTGGCTCACAGCCTCAATGAGCCCCTCTGCGTTGTCCGCGTTGCGCAGCAAGTGCTGCAGGACCAGCTGCCGGTGGGAGTGTTGGTGCTGGTGTTCGATGACGTGGAGGTCTTCGAGATACTTGAGTCCTTCTTCCAAAAGGGACTTCGCCGCTGCAGACGCGAGTTCCCCCTGGGGAGCCCCCGGGGGGGCCCCCCTGGGGGGCCCCCGAAGGG